TTTTTTTTTTTGGCGCGCGCGTCTACGCAGTCAGGAGGAGAGTCGGAGAGGCGCTCGAGCTGCAGCTGCGGCGGCGGATTGGGTCGTAACGTTTTCTCTCCTGGATTCAGACGGTCTCTTCACCGACTGGGTGAGCCAAATTCTCGTTCAGTTCGCACCAGCGAAGAGCTGGAGGGGTAGGCTACTCTGCGCTATGTTAACGAAAACGTGCGAAAGAGAGTTTTTATGGTGGGCGGGGGGGGTCGATTTGAACGTTTCTTCGTTCACGTCTCTTATGTGAAAGCGGCGGGATTGAAAGAAACAAGATGGGGGGGGAGGAGGAGGTAGGTGGGTGGGGTCGTGTTGGGCCGAGCGGAAGAGCGACATTGATTGACAGTCGCCTCGGCCACTCAGAGAGGCGGCTTCCCTGCGTTGGCGGGGTCGCTGCACCAAGCGTACAAATCACAGACGCGTCAGGTAGGAGGGACTTCCTGTGCCAGGGTGATTTGCGTTACGGCCATGTGTGTTTGTATTGCAAATTGGGGTTATAAACTGGGATTTACAGGAGAAGGCGGGTTTCACAACAGATAACGCATGGAGTCTACTTTTATAAAAAAAACAAGTGTGTGCAGCGATTCAGTTTGCCTGGTGAATGGCGATTTTTGCAGATAAGCGGTGCTGCTCTCTGCCCCCACCCCCTGTCTTGTCTCTCTGTGTGAATTCATTCGGAGCTGCCGGAGCCCGGCATGCTTCTCCAGAGTAAAATCTGGAGAAAAAAAAAAATCTCGCCCCGTCTCTCTCAAGACGATAAGGCTGTGAATGGAGCGGAACCTTTAGTGAGAGTGTTGTGACGAGCATTGCACGCCTCCCAAACCGTTGTTGTGACTTGAAATCGGGTTGCCTGGGTTTGGGACTGAACGTTATGCTGAGTTCTGCTTGCGAACTTGTGCTGGCGTTTTTTTTTTACCAGGAAAATGACCCCCCACCCCCACCCCGTGCCAACAGACGCGTACGGTGTAAAAGCCTTTAAAAGGAATGCCCTTTTCCTTGCTCACGGTGAAAGCTCAACGCTCTCCTTAAATCTCGGGCGCGCTCACAAGACGAGGGAATTAAACCTCCCCTTGGAACACAAAACACAAAAAACAAACGGGTGCCGGTGTCTCTCGGTAAGATAAGAGACTGGTGTGTGTGAATCCAAGCCCTCCGGCAAACTTCTTTAAGGTCCCGAGTGGAGAGGAGCCGGAAACGCACAGCTCTGTGGTTTTGTGTTTGTCACATGCGCAGGCCGGGTTGGCGGTGCGCATCTTGCAAATCGGTAACAGGGACCGATCACCCCCATTGAAAGAATCAAGCAGCGACAATTTTTTTTAATGTAGGTCATCAAAGAGTGGCGCCGATCCCCGCATCTGGGGGGTATGATGGGCTTTAGCGACGGCAGCGGGCATCGCAGTTTAAACCGCGGAGCGCCCCTGACGCCGCTTCTGTGGGTGTGCGAAAGTGTTACTCATCGGACGCGGTCAGGTAGCTCCCAGATCGGGAGAGTGTTCCCCCCGGGCTCGATCGGGAAGCCTTCCGCTTCCAGTTCAGGATTTCCAGCCGTCGCGGGCGAGTTCAGCTCCGGGTCTGGCGGACACGGGGTCTGCGAGGGAGTGGGGTCGCGACTGAAGTCAGCGC